AGACAACCTTGTCCCAATTTTTCAGTAAATCGTAATTAGGCTTTAAGTTAAAACTCATTAGAAATGCAGGAATCCTCAGTCAATTATTTATGGTTTTCTTTGGAAAATTGTTGTATTAAATCAAATGGTTGGCGTCATTCCCACAAGGAATGGTAGCCATAACAGCACATCCCAACCATCCATCTGACCACCATTTCTTATTCCATCATCCATTGCAACCAGTTCTAACGAATAGTAAAACAATCTAAATAACATGAGGTAACCATTGATCATAGTTAAAACATCCAACTCAAAACCAATTGACAATATTAGTTTGAGAGGCATTTATTTTACCGAGGCAGACAACCTCTAACAAAACCACCAACCTCTAACAAAACCACCATCGGAGAAGCCATATTTGAGTTATAACCCCATAATAGAGGGAGGGAGCCGTCTATAAGTAACCATAATTCTGCACATTCGGGAAATTGTGTGGAACCAATTGAATTAGGAGATGTCTGAGAAACAAGTAGAGTTTCCCTCATTGCCAACACCAGAAATTAAAAACCATAGAACTCGTAAAACTTCTAGCAACTAGCGGGATCTGGTTGCATATTTCAAGTAAATGAGATTGTTGAAGAAATTTCATTCTGTTTGGGAAGCTGGTTCTTCTTCCCAGCAAGCAGAGATGGCAACAGAAGTCTTCGCAAAATCCACCAACTTGAAGAACTTGAATGACAAAATTGCCCCATATTAGAGTGTTGAAAAATTGATGCATATGGGTTGTTATATCTAAAACTGCTGCTGTCCTATAAAAGGGCCCCTTCTAGGGAATATTTAGTATACTTCATTTGGGATGGGGACTGAATTTCCAAATTTCACTAAAGTCATGTGTACTTTCCAATAGAAGTTTTACAAAACTTGAATTTGAAGTTTCCTGACAATATATGAAGAGTAGATTGGGGATGCTCAAAACATATGTTTGGTTTGCATCTCAAAAAACAGTATCTGAAAATTATTTTTGAAAAAAATTTTAAGAAAGTGTTTTTCAATTACAAAACCTGTTTGGTTATATATTTTTCAAAATAGTTTTAAAGAACAAAAATTATAAAATTTGTTTGGATAGTAATTACAATTCCCACCTCTCTCTTTCTTTCCCCTCTCAATGTCTCCACAAAACACACTTACACACGCACACACACACAGAGGCATACACAATACGCAGACCCACACAGATCTGTGTAGATCTGAATCTGTAGTTGTTGCGAGAGAGAAAGAGAGGGGAGCAGATCAGATCTGAAACTAGAGAAAACACTGAATCTAAATCTGTCGTTCTGTTTGATGGGCAAAATGGAGAGAGAGAGAGAGGGGAAAGAAAAAAAAAAGGAAATCTTTTGCTGCTAAGGGGACTCAAAGGACATACCTTATTAAAGAAAGCCCTATCTCCGTGTTTCCAAAATTTTCAAAGAAAAGTCTGAAAACAAGTGTGGCTTTTTTCAATTTTTTTTGCTCCAATTCTCACTTTTTTCTGAAAATTTGAGAACAAAAATGCTAACCAAACATGTTTTGAGTGTTTTTGAAATTTTGAGAACAAAAAACAGTTTTGCAGATTCAAACCAAACACCCCCATAATATTTCTTGACTTTAGCAAGTGGGCAAGGTTTTGTGACATCCCAAAAAGCATAAGGGGACTAGTTTTATGGGATGGATGGAAGGAGGGACTAGTTTTATGGTTCAGAGGGAAGGAGGGGACATGGTTAACCCTAAGAACTGATGGGAGGTTAGCTTTCTCCTTGTGTAAGATTATGCATCTATATGAGAATTATGAAATGGCCTGCGTGTATGTACTTATGTACAGAATGTGGATTGGCTGACACTGGACCAAACTGTGGTGAATAAGCATGACACTGGGCTGAATAGATTGACCAGAGCTCGACCATAAGCTCAACAGCTCTTTCCCAATGTCAACTGCTAAAAGTACAACATAGAGCTTGAGCTTCGCGTTACAGATCAACAAAATTGATACCGCCTTTTTTTTTTCTATACATACTTTGGCCTGTCACAGATTTACAATGAAAAATTAAGTATTAGAGTTTAGAATAATGTATCTATAATAGGGGGGGAAAGCACCCATTGATAATTGAATATAAGCCCGAACGAGGGGTAACATAAAACCCTGTTCTCCCAGAGAAGGGCACATGAGAAATCAATTCTTGCCTGACCACTTAACTGAGAGAATCTTGAGGCAATCAAGGTGGCCAACTCAGCTAATTCTAGTTAGTTAGGAAATTGATACCACAAAAGAAGTACGCAGCAGAAATAACATATTTCTTTGAACTAATCACTTTTTATCACTCAAGCAGCACCCTACTGAGATGCTATGCACAAGTTTCTAGGACTCAGCAAAGCAAGACCCAATAATCAGATGGGCTATACATAGTACTGGCCAAGATTGAAGTTGAAGCCCAAGTCTCAGGTATCTTCCTAGGATGAAGCCTACTACCAGCCTTGGCTGGGTCCACAGTAATAAACAAAGTACGTGCAAGTATGCTACTTTTCCAAAATCAGAGAGAAGAGGCTGAATCATAGAAATCCTACTCCAAGATGTAGATTGAATTCAATATTTCAAATAGTGAAACCAATTTAGTGTTATAGTGAAATTTTCTGAAAAACTGTCAGTCACATCAACCACTGGGGGTTGAGATTGGTTTTTCTTCTTTCTACCATTTGCTAGATGAATGTTTAAACTAAACAAAAGGAAAACCCCACACGTGCATTGCTATCAAAAATAGGTGGCAAAATTCTTTCAAAATATATATGTATAATGGCAAATCAATATCTTCAAACAAAGCACAAGAAGTTCCAAGGTCATTACATAATTCCTACTCTTAAACGTGTATGATAGTCACGATAATAACAATGATGAACTCACTCAAAAGTAGATAAACATAACTAACAAAAAACAAGAAGGTGAATCATTAATTCGTTTTCCCTTTGTCAAGTTTGGAAAGTGGAAGTGCAGCAAGTACATTATAATAAAGAGCAACTTGATAAAAGAAAAAACATTAAAGCACAAGCAAGGATAAAATTAACATAAAAACTTTTGTTGGACAGTTTGGAAATTGGCCACTAACTTATTTATCTCTGAACTCAACAAGAAAACTGATTACACAAGGCAAGATTTTGGATAGGACAATGCAGAATTAGCAGATTTGAAGGGGTAGAAAAGGGGCCCTATCCCCATAAGAGGGGTGAAGTTTCTTTCCCAGGTTGGGGGGAAAAATCTTGACAGTCCTCCAAACTACCTAATGGATCTAAAAAACAAAGGACATCTGCTCATACATGCATAAAAATGCATTCAATGTACCATTTCAATAAATATGAAGCAAAGCCTAATTTGATCTCTCCATGTCCTGTTCAACAAAAATAAAAAGCACGAAACTCTGGTATGCCAGCACAAAATATTCAGGTCTTACCATGTTTAGTCGATCACTATTGGGATATCTGGACAATGCAGCAGAAATTGATCTTCTCAAAAGCTCACCAATGCCTTCCACGCCAAGCTTCACAGAAATGTGTAAAGCTTCAGGTGCATCTGCAAGACTGAGCAAGATTGCAATAGGTCGAATCTCATCATCACTATATTCAGAAACCCCGATAGCTATGCATCTCTCATTTATTTGATGCAAAACATAGTCAAAAAGAACCAGGTATACATTTCTCCTTTCCTCCCTTGAGTTTGACAGCACTAACTGCATATATAATCATTACATGTGAGAAACTAATGGTCCTGGATGAGATACAGGAGACACAAATTATGTACAAATTTGTACGTTAAGTAGGGAAAAAACATAACTCTTTAAATAGCGTAAAATGTTTCAAAAACTTCATTCTCAAAAGCAGATTTAAAATGCAAAAAAAATTGGTTGGTTCTTTTGACTAAAAAATTCATAAGCCAATTACATGTACACATGAAGTGTGCAAAGAAACTAAGCAAAAACACAAAACAATACACCCTATGATATGTACAGCTCCTATTTACCATATTAACAAACAAAAGAAAATATATCTCAACCGAAAAACTTCTCTGAGAAACAAAAATTCTTCTCCAACTCCTAAACCAAAGGAACTGTACATATCATGGGGTGTATTCTTTCTGCTCCAACCAAAGGCTCCACCAATGGAACAAAAGAGCTGCCACCCAAACACGCCAACATGTTCCCCTCACATAAGACCTATTCCATAATCAGAGAACCTCTAATAGGAGGCACATCCATGCCACCCCGTGTAAATCCACATAAGTAAGAGCCGCAATTGCTTGCACCTAAATAAATAATGAATCCGCTGCACTTTTACACATACCACTAGCTGAGTCAACAGATGTGTTAGTGGAATTGTTTTCAGGCCTCAAGGCACAATAATTTGCTTCCATTCAACATATTTATCAACAATAAAAGGTATGGGATTGCAATGCGTCTTCCTTTAATGCACAATGCATGAATGAGAAGCATATACTATCACTTTGTTGTCCCCTATATAATGTACATAAATCAATCACATTTTAAAGTTTGAAGCAAACTCTCCCAACCAACAAGTTAACGATACAGGCGAATGCTTCTTCTCACAACGAACAAGAGAAGTATTGCAAGTTGTAGTGAGTCAAATGTTAGATGCCTAAAACCAAGTCCTCCTTAACTTCTTTAATTGTAATCACTAATTTTAGCAGTTTTTTTCAAAAGTATTCAGATATACGTACAAACAAAAAATTCGATTTTATAAGAAATAACTAGCACAGTACCTCCATGAAAATAAACTCAATTCCTCCTATCAAATCAACCTGCTCAACAAGAAACAATGGGGTATTTGAAACAGCTTCAGCAGACCCATCAGGAACTTGATAAAACATGTTCGTCAACATGCAAATAAGTTTGCAGTGAAGTAATTCTGCCCAGGAATTCCTCCTGCTGATCTGTACAAGCATCTTAATAACCTGCAAGTGAAAGAAGTGTACATAATGAAGCCCAAAACTCAAGGGATACCAACATAGCTCATGCTTAAAAGGAGGAGACAATGTTAACACCAATACAACCCATATGCTCCAACTATGTTGCATGATCACCAAAATAAGAAAACAAACCAATCAACATAAATCACTTCTCTTTATAAGCCACCAAATAAAGACAAGTTCTGGCACCATGATAACAAAGGATACATAAGAACCAGGCCCCAAAAAAGCCTTTATCTCTCCATCATTTTTGTTTTCTCTTTCTAAAGATTCTCCACTGAATCAAGTTGCAGCACACAAGCTACTCCACATAAGTCAAATTTGAAAAGGGCAGTTACTCTGACACCATTTAGGAAACCCAAGCAAGCCAGTTCTAGTTTTGAGAAAACCACAGAATATTTTTCATCCTACAAGAAGATATCAAATATGAATGGGATGACTACATTTTTCTCTTCTGGGTTTTCTCTTATGTATCAATCTTTAGTTCACTTCACTGCACAAAGTTTTTCAATTTAGACAAATCACAATTTTTAATTTATGTTAATTTCCTGTCCATAACATGTGTAAAAAATTAAAAATAAAAAGGCAACCTAAAGAAATGTTCCCTCTATGCTTTTTGTCACTTTGATCCTCATTCTTTTAAATGTGTCATTGTGGTCCCCCAATTTTCCAATTTGTTCACTTTGGTCCAACAAAATAGAATGAAAAAGATGGTTAAAATTAGCTGATGGGAGTGGCATCATGTTTCTCTGATGACCACACTTACTGGATGAATGTAATAAAAAATTGAAAGTAGAGGACAAAGTTGAAAAAATAAGGATCAAAGTGACAACAATTGGAAACTTGAGAGATCAAAGTGACCACTCAAGTGTGGTCACACGAGCCACCATTTGACCACTTTTGTTAGAATTTAAACCGCCATTTTTAGTAGACCAGCATGACGTAAATTGGAAATTTGAGGGATGTAAATAACAAAAATAAAGACCATCCTAGAATTAGTGACAATTCTTGATCTCACTCTCTTTGAATTGATGACTATGAGTTGAATGGATAAGAGGATGAAATCTAAAGAAGGAAGATAAGGATAGTTCATAACTCAAATAGTGGGTTATTATTATAGCATTTCTTCTTAGAATGAAAGTGGAACTCATCCTTCATCCCCAGTTAGGTCCCAGAACCACTTTTTTTTCCAAAAATAGAGAGAACCAAAAAAAGGTTCCCTACATTATGGATGCTGTTTCTGTTTATCAAGTCTGTTTCTTCTTCACTTTACCCCAGTTTTACAGCAGGTGTAAAGAGATTCCATTCTACTAACTGCCATTTATGAGGAGCATACAAATCACAGAAGCGGGCGTAATCACAACGAAGCAAAGAAAAAAGATCACTCACTCTTATGTCAAGACCTTTTAATCTGCTCCTCCGAATTTGTCGTCTATCACAGACAAAATAAAGTAAACAGCTCAGGGCAGAAGCCCATACAGATTCTTCCTTCTCTTCCATCTGCAATGTAGTTAGAAGGTAAAGAGCCTTAGATCATCAAATGAAGCAATTTATAGGTTGGATCATAATCAAACAAAGGATGACAACAAACAAATGGTTTCTGTTCATTCCAACAAAGTTAGCAAAAAGCATTACAATTTCTGGAGCACATTGAACCACTCAAGAAGCAATTCACCACAATTGATTATGTATGGCAAAAGAAAACACCCAAAACACCCGGGCTAATATCTTACTGTGTAGAGATCACAAATTAGCTTGAAAACTTCAAGCAACCATTGTCTTCAACCACTGAAGTTATTATATATTATATATACTTTTTGGATAGGAAACTAAACAATTTTGTTAATATGAAAAGAGTATATCAAAGAGAACTTGGGATGAACAAGTTGTCGAGCCAAGAAATGAAAAAACAGAAAAGAATTACAATATAACTATGGAATATATTATGCTCTCCAATTCACCACAATATAAAAGAGTATAATAGATAATACCCTCAAAATCCTTAGAAGCTGTGAAGCACACGAGAGGCCAAGAAATAAATCCCGACACACAAGACCTCCTTACAATAATCTTTATCTTCAAATATCTTAGAATTTCTCTCCAATCAAATTACCAAGATTATTGCGAAAATTGTACAATTCCAAAGGGTTACCCCGTTCTTGTGCTTTCCAAACCAATCAAATTTCTCCACTAATATAGGGAAAAAAAATGTCTTTTGAATCACCCAACTTACCCCCGCTAGTTGAAATGATTTGGACCACAAAAACAAAGCAACAACGGGGTGTGCGTACCAACGGGCCTTTGGTCCAATGGTACTCCTTACTTTGTAAAAGTTTCTAGAGTTCAAGTCTCCCTCTCCATCCCCCCCCCAAAAAAAATAAAAATAATGGGTTGTGTGAAGCTACAAATGAGCCCATAATTTCTTAATCTTGAATACTAATGAGTACGTATTGGATAAAATGGTTTACTAAAGATGTGTGTGTGTGTGTGCACATACATTTTGTAGAAGACGAATGTACAGTGTGAGTGAATGTCAGAGGGGCCAATTTGAATTCTAAGTTAACCTGTTTGAAAGGACATGAACAATAGGATTGACACTTTAGCCGTACAAGTAATACCTGATCTACGCAATGCAGGCCCACTGCCACTCAACCACCCTTATATGTTATTATGCCACAACCTTCATTACTTCTGCTGTCAGTGGGATGCATACTAGTATCATTATTCTAAATATTCTTGAAAGTATCCCAGAAATATTAAAACTTAATATTAACCATTAAGACCATAGTTATTAGTATCGTACAATACGCGATACATATCATACGATACGTCATAATACACCTGAAAAACGATATATATCGTGTCTCTATATCATTTTTGCACTGTATCGAGCGACACACGATATAATACGTACGATACGATAAGATACACTTGATACATGATAATTCTGTTTATTTATTTTTGTTTTTCAGGGTTAAAATGACATCGTTTTACCCTAAAACTTATTTTTAAATCATTAGCTAGTGAAATAACGTCATTTCAGTGGTTATAGTTTAATAAAAATAAATAAAATCTAATGTTAATGTTGTTCAATTGAATTCAAAATTCCTGATTAATATTAAAGTTGTTCAAACAGTTGATATTAGAAATTTGAATTAGATGTCTTTGCATTTTGATATTACTCAACTATATTGAAAACTTGAATAGTTGGTGGAATATTAATGAAATAGTATGTTATTATGACTCTTTAAATTTTTTATAAAGGTATATACATATATTTTATTAATAATTATTTAAAAATTAAAATTGTATGTATCTTACGATAAACGATACAACATACGATACGATACATTATTTTTAAAAAACGATATGCCTTCTGATACACGATTTGACAACTATAATTAAGACTAATCCTCTGAATTTTTTTAAGCTCACTTTGCAATTGCATCTATATGAATTCCTAAGGCATATAAGAAGTCACTGTCTAAAAAACAATATGTTTTACCGAAGTAATTTTGTAGGTTATCGAACAATGGAAAATAAAATTTTCTACAATTTACTTGATTTTATCAATCCAATTTGGCACCACTACTTAGGGGTACAACATTGGCAGGTTGGACAATCAACCCTAGGTATATAATCTTCAACCCTAACCCTAACTCTAACTCTAACTCTAACTCTAACCCTACCTCAGATTGGGGAATTCAACTCGAGCACTGCACGAATTTAATTCAAGCGGACACGGGTTGAATTCGGGCTGATTTCGGGTTACTTTAAGGGTTCAATTCGAGTAGAGCTCAAAATAGACTTTTGTTCTAACTTCTAAACCTAATAAATATATTACGTAATATTCACCTAAATTAACAACCATAACTGCAACCAAATTTTTAACGAAAGATGCTGAGAAAACGAGAGAGGCAAAGTGAACAAGAGAGACAGAGAACGATAGAACAAAAATGAAAAATCAATGCTAATACTTTATATATATATATATATATAATTTATTTTTTTAATTTGTCGGGTTTGGGTTGAACTCAGGTTCACGAGACCTTAACTCGAGCCCAACCCAAATTGAATTCGGGTTAGAGTTTTTTGACCCAAGTCCAACTCAAGTATTAAAAACCCTTGTCCAATCCCTAATTTTTTTGTGTTGAGCTCGAGTTGAAATCAGGTTACCCAACCCAAGTTGCACCCCCGCCACTACTAAGTCACAAAGCAAGGGCCATTTTATTCTTTGCAAAAAGACATGAATTTAATTGTTAAAGAGAGGCTTCTCCCTGATTAGCCCACTCCATGCTACATCATATATACAGTCAGTGAAAATTTTTATGTAAGGTGATTTATAATTGTTTTATCTCTCGCACATAATGGCTTTCCGATTTAAGGCCTATATTTGAAATGCAACCTATAGTCTCTATTAGAAAGTTCTGAATTGATTTTATACGAGAAAGATGCATAATGGTAACCTCACATGCCATCTGAGAACCTTTCTCCATCCAAAATACAATTATTCATTAGTGCCCACAAGAGACTGACAATCAAACCTACCCCTTTTTCAGAGAAAGAGAGATGTGGTCACCTATAGTAAATGCTCAACCGGGCCAAAGTCTTGGATCTGTGTACCCTCTATCATCAACGAATTCAAAGAAAAAAACATATAAATCTAGAGCTCAAGCTTGCCTCAGCCTTAGCCTCATTGCCCAATTTGCATTAGTAGTCAACGGGCGCACTCTCTAAAACCTCTGTCAAATTTTATAGCATACTTGTGAAGCTGTTTAGTACCTAGACTCTACAAGTGAAGTTTTTCCAACATAATTAAAATCCCTCCAATAAAGATGATAACAAACCCATTGCAGCCCTCCAGGAAATGCCACTGAATTCCCCCTCAGTATGAGCTAATTAAATAGAAAATATTTTTTGAAACAAACTACCACGGACCTCATCAACCTTTGATTTCCATACCTAGAAATACAGTTTGGACATCTAATATTCCTTAGTTGGTAGAAACTGTTTTCAAATATTCTTCAGTAGATGGCGATTATCTCAAATCTGACCTACTCTAAAGAGAAACTCTTCCAGCCTTCATGTATATGACTAATGTTCTAGGTTTCTGCTAACATAACCTTCTTGGCTCAATTATCCAAATCTCTTCTGGATAGTCCATCCATTTTTCCCTTGCAAGCCAACTGCTCACCAGGTGGCATTGTGATTTCAGATTTTCTATTTCTTAATTGCAGTAATATTCTAATAAACAAGACCTACAGGTCTATCCGAGATAGCTAAATCCACCTTGAGGGAGTAGAGGTCATCGCTTCAAATCTACTATCTAGCAGTTGTAATAATAATAATAATAATAAATATTACAATAAACAACCTCATTCCACACTTCACTAATAATTGACTAATTAGTCTTAACAACTGGTGAAATTCTTAGAAAAAAAGAGCAATCTGATTATCTTAGAAGCACAGAAGATAGATAACGTATATTGCAATTTTTGGTAGATATTCATAAGACAAAGCAAAAAAATTAAAAAAGCAAGCATAAGAGTGCAGTTAGAAATTGCTGCTTCCTTAAAGCCTCCAAGCATAGAGTTTCCTGGGTATGAAGAATAGGTTGAAACGTGAACCTCACCGTGTAGAAAATGTTCCTTCATAAATTCAGACACAATAATAGAGAACACCATTGTGAAGTTCTGAGAACAGCATAGTTCTTTGAGTATAACATTTCAAAGCTGTACCTGAACAAGATGAAGAAGAATCTCATACAGAATGCTCAAAATCCAAATCTCGAATTTTTCAATAGCAGAGGAATTTCCCATCTTCTTAAAATAATCTGGTTTTCTCTTTCCTTGGGTGGCAAGTTGCACTTCATTGTCAAAGTATGGATCCTGAGAATACTCTTCTTCAATAGTGGATCCATCACCAGGTACTAGTGGCTCCAATAAATGAGCATGAACCCCAAGATTTAAGATTAAATCAAAAGCCCGGGCTTTTGAGACTAATCTTGGAGAATTAACCATTTCCTGTGAATAGGTCTCATGAAAGTAAGAAGATATAACAAGATCTTCAACCTAACAAACAAATATGTCAAATGTGCAGCACCTCAAGCATGGATAAAGTGAGAGGAGCAGCAGTCCCAGAATCCAAAACATACCTAAAAAACAAAGTTTTGCAATGGTCATCTCCCATAGTAAATTTTGCAGAACGAGTAATAAGACATAACCTAAAAATTGCATCAACCAATGCCATTGTTTATTGGGCAGATGGCTCAAAGATCCCCTCACCCAGTAAACCTATTTAGAATTTAGAGTTCAAGCCAGAGATTGAATTTCATGGTTGAATAAGCTTTGTTTTGTGATCCCCCAGCATACCCAACACACCCCACCCCCGCACATGCACGGGGTCAAGGAGGAAAGGAACAATTTGAGAATGAAATGCACTGATAAAGGCAAATAAATACACCAGAACATACATGTCAATTACAAGTTTGACAAGAACGCTCACAGCCACGTCCATTGATGGTTTGCCACTATTATTAGTGAATTTAGATGAGACTGTCATGAGATTAGCTGTTGATGAAGATGTTTCTGAGCAAACCGCAGCAATAACTTCACCTACCTCCACTGGGTTTAACCGTAAAGGTTGTTGTTCACTGGTAAACATCAATGTATTCAAAGTGAGAGAGAGATGAACCATGTAAAAAGTAAGTTTGTGCATGTGATCATTAGTGCTCAACAGCTCATACAACCAATTCAATCAAGTGAATTGCAACAGCACAGTTAGAACCAAACATACTCCTAGTTATGTAAAAGAACACTGATTATTGAATGCAGAAAACTGCAATAAAACTAAAACCGACAAGTTGGCATTAATTTCTTTGACACTCAAGAGTTGAGATTGGAAATTGGCATCAGAAATTATTGGTTTCACGGAAAAGGGGGGGGGGCATGAAGCTACTAGTAATATTTGTCATCCTTCCCACCATCGTCATCATCAGTACTATCCTAGGTGGAGTAAATGAAAAGGATCTCAATTATTTAAAAGAATAAGATTACGGAGGTTGGCGATATGCATAAAACACACAGCGAGTAACTAGCACGGAAAGTCTACTAAAGTTAGCTCATTAAAGCGTGATGGTAAATCAACGAACATTTGAGGAAATTATACCTAATTAACATCTAGAACATTAGGACTAACAAATTGGAAAAATCTCCAATTCTGTCATACCTGTAATGACGGTATTGGAAAAGTTGTCGAGTACGTGGTCGGAAGGTACCCACAGGTGAATCTTCCCTGAAAGACGAGAAGTATGATTCTCAGAACAGTACCCTCATAATCGAAATTCTCAGATATTTATTTTACATCAGTAAGGTACTTTACTGCTTTATGCATGCATATGAATGTCAAATGCTAGGCTTAACACGGATTACTTCCACTTATCAACTTTACTGCTATGCAATAGAGTTTGGCTTCGAAGGCTTGTTTTTTTTTTTTTGACAGAATGGCTTTGAAGCTTTGTTAAGAACCTTGACACACATATTTTATCTACCATGAAGTAACAGGATCACAATGTATCAAACATGTTCTAACTCCCACTCATTGATGTGAAAAGATTGTATCGTTTTTCTGTGGCCGTTAGAGGTGGGGTCTATTTTATATCATGTTTGATCATGGCACTTCTATTTTGCTTTTTGCAAAGAATGGTTACACTTCATCTATGATGAGTCCTTATCAGAATCAGTAAGGTCTTTCTTTGTCAGAATTTCCTAAATTGAAAGTTTATTTGATATGCTTCATAAGATTCCTGTAAACTGGAAGAAATTAATGACAATGCTCTGAAGATGTTTGCATAGTTCAAATAATCACTCTCCAATAATTCTTCAAGGTCAAATACCTAAAAAGACCTATCTTCTTCTTCATTCTTTTTCCCTTCCTATTTTGATTCCAAGTTGCAACCCCTCCGCTGGGAGGGGGGGGGGNCTATAAGTTAGTGTTGCGACAATTTTTCATTAAGTGTTTTTACGTCACTACACTGATATGTGATTTGTATAATTCAGTGAAATTTTTTTTTCTCCGATTCGAGAACTAATATCGTACCTCATTTTTCCGTCAATAGAGAACGTAACTATGTGTGAAGTTATTAATTTTTATATTTTATTTTATTTTACTATTTAATCGATCAATGACCACAAATAAACCAAGACATGTGTAATCAACAGATAATAAACATTTGTATTATAATTTCATNTTATTGCAAAACCACAAACATTACCCACAATAACTTTTCACATACTATTTACATACCAGAGCATGCAATCCCTCCACTTCTACACCACAATTAGCTTGAAAAAAACACCAATTCCATCCTTAAACCATCCAGAGATGTCAAGGTCATCTTTCCCATCATAGTCCTAAATATCAAAGCCCTAGTTTCAGAGTAAAGGTGTTTTCTCTGATGGCTTGGGTAGACCTTGAAGTGATGTAACAAACTGGTCTCGTTACCACCCTAAAGTTTCTACTACTGGATAATACTTTTTATCCATTCCATGTTCTTATCAGTGGCATTGCACAGATCACGCCACATTAAAACATGAAATAAATATTCAAATGCTAGAATAAACACATAACCAGGAAGTTAAAAATACCCCACCCGGATCTTACACCCCAGACAATTCCAATTGAACTAAAACTGCATATTCCCCAAACTGCATCAACAGCACATATCACAGTTATGATACTCTTAATCCGAGCCTAAACAAAAAATAATGCTCTAGCACTCCATCGCACGTTCCTTTGAATATATGAACAGAGCTGAGGGCAACCAACATTACACAAACTAATACACCACTATATACAGGTACCTCTATTTGCATAGCAGAATCATATTCAAGCAAAAAGGGAAAAACCAGCACTTATAGTAGTAGTGGGAACAGTGGGAACTTGAATTTAATAAAGAACTGATATCAAAATAAACCGATAGACTAGTAAGATTAACATACCAAATTTGATTGGCGCCTGGTTTAGAGCGCTTAGATGCTGTTATGGCTCTCAAGTGGGCACGAGCAGAGGCTGAATTGGTGACAGTTGTGAGCAATGAAGGCTGCAGCAGTTGATCAAGATAACGCATATCAGAAGTCCCAAAAATTCGCCAAGGTTCACCCTTCATTCTAGCTTCCATGTCCCCTATAAGAAGAGCTGCCGCACCTACTTCGAGGAAATTATGTTTACTCATGTCTTGGGAATTCAGAACACGATCACTGTATATTGCAGTTTATTTAGCAATAGAAGAAACCACCATAGAAAAACTAACCAAATCAAATGTAAAACAATAATCACCTATAGAAAGCCAAAAGATACAGAAACTACCCACCTTTCCAGTGAAAGCAATGATGATTGTTGGTCTCCACACCAGCGCCATTTGATAACATCCGGGGCTATGAAATCAAGATCCTCTGGTCCATCTATTTCTTCAGGAATTGAAGAGTCTAATACAGATATAGCAGATTTCTCTTTGTTCTCTGTAGATTCTTTAACATTTGCAGGGCTTAATTGGGAGTTGAAGGACCTGCTCAACAAAGATGATAATGTTGGAAGTGATTGTCTTGATGTGGGTGGGGCTCCAGCAAAAGATGCTGGTTGAAATGACCGCTTTGGAATATGTTGAGCCACTAGAGAACGGACATAAATTAATGACTTGACAAGTGCTCCCGATGCAAAACTTGACACAGGTAAAGGAGATGTATTCGTTGATGCTGGTGACACCGCAGATTGTTGACTCAAAGATCGTGACCATGGTAACGATTTTCGGTTTGGACTAGTCTCACACTCAGCAATTATGTTAATGCAAAACCGATCAATCTGTTGTAATGTTTCCTCGCTCGGTTTATATCTGCAACAACAGATTGACATGCAAATCACAATACCGAAAGCAAATCTATGTAATACTTCTAATTCTCCGATCCTCACACATAATTAGGCAGAAAACCAATGATTAAATGATAAAATAAAAGGAATGAGCCTGACTAGAACATAGATGGTGGTTTATGCATCATCTCTAAGCAAAGTCTGAAAACCCACCGCAAAAGGAACCGTCTCAAGAGCGCGACACACCTTGCAACTACTGCTGGGCTGATGCAAAAAGATGATGTGTCAGTGCAAAAAAGACAATAACATAGCAACATCATTGCACATGAAATGCTGAAAGCCTAAGAGAAAAAGACATTTAATCATAAAATACATGAATTTTTCACGAGTACCACAAGCCATAAATCATAACATTAATTATAATCCATTATCACATGATAAGTTAGAATATTGCCATTTAACTGGGCCGATATCTGTCCAATCTGCAAAGCATCAACATATGATTGGAATAAAAAGTTTGAAGGGACCACAGAAAGGTGGTCACTACCCTTGACAGATCCATCTAAAAACCAGTTCAAGATTGTAAAGATTTCTGATACATAGAGTTATGTAGATGCTCCACATGGGCCCCATCAATTCACCATCTCACACTTTCTCTGGAATAAAATTCACCATGGAAAAACTCATTCACCACTAGCCAGTCTCAACTCCTTTCTCAGTTGCAATTCTAACACTTCAAAATCTACTAGGCATGGGGAAACATGCACTTTCAAATGAAGGGATGACCGTGATAAAAAAATTGCCCATGTAGCTCATGGAATCTAGAAAAAAGATGCAATACATGATTGGAATAACTAGTTCAAGGATACCACAGAAAGGAGGTCACTTCCCTTGATAGAGACATCTAAAGACCAGTTCTAGGCTCTAAAGATTTCTAATGCAGAGACTTGGGTAGCTGCTCCACATGAGCTCCATCATTTCAACATCTCCAACTTTGTTCAGGTGTCCGGTTCAACACCATCCCATCTCAATCACAATTGTCAACAGCAATTTTTCAACACTTAAAAACCTCCCAGGCAATGAGAACCAAACACACTTCAGGGTGACAGGATGAACTCATCCAAAAAAAGTACACACATACCTCATCGAGGTGATTACGTAAACAAATAGTCTCAACTAGCTACAATTTTCTTCTACATGACAAAGAAGAACACAACCTTATACAATGTGAGAACCTTCTCAATTTTGTGGCACAAAGGGATTATCCTAGTATAATGATAGTCATTAGTCATATTATATATCATAAAGCAAGAATTACATCAAGGCTGTAATGTTATTCTTGACATAAAAAAACCAAAAAAAAAAAGTTCTTCAGGAGAGAAGAACTTATTAATTCTTGTATTTCAAGTGTAGCGGAAAATGAATTGAAGTGATCAATTCACAACTTACAAGGGAAGTCTAAAAGATCCAGAACTGCTGCATTAGTATCTAACGAGTACCTATGTACTGCCTAAGAGAGGTCCAACTTTCAGGTACTATTGGGAAATGGGCGCATATCAATTACCTATCCTCTAAAATTTGGTATCTGATCACTAAATAATTGTTAAGTAAAGAATTTAAGAAATCAACTTTATGTCGCTGGTAAGAGTATCCAAAACGAATATGTTTTGGATATGGAAGTTGATATGCTGAATAATATGTATAACTTTCAATTTTAAGCTTCATCATTTTCTCTTGAATTCACATATGGAAAAACCATGTGACTTTGTGGACATTTAGGTGTTTCTTAAGTATTACCTACCACCACATTTAGCAACAAGTACTTCTAAGCAAATCTACTAGTTAAATGTTGATGTTGATTCCTTTATTTAGCAACATTCACTTCATTGATATTACCATGATGAAACAATCTATACCACTACTGAAAATTATGATTATCAAATTTTCAGAGAATACTAAAGTATAAAATATATTTGAATTGTAGATGTATGTTAATCGTATCCATATCTTATTTTTTAGGTTTTGCCATAACGCCGTATCCATATCACATCATTCTGGCATCCACACTTCCTAGCAAGCAAGATAGAAATCTATGTCATGGCTACGATTTGAAATAATATTTCCCACTTTTACAAGAAAACTTATCCCAAAGAAATATATATGTCCGTTGTATTTTTACAGTCAAAACAATACAGCTCTGAGCAAATACAGTTGTATTTCCATAGTGAAAACCATAGTCAAGAGTATGGAGCCACAAGTACACATCACTAGCAAACACAGTTCAAAAAATACCTGCGCTCTCTTTCAGCAAGTGTATGCTCTAGAATCACACTGTAAGCCAAATCAGTTGTTTTATGTGCTGCCAGATAGTCCTGCCATCCAAAAAAAAAAGGCCAAAGCCATCTGACGCAAACTTTACACATCTTTGTAGTTGTCATAAGCATGACACTAGCAATTCTTCTAATGAACTGATTATGGGAATTCATATCAGGCAGTGCCACAGTCACTTAAATAAGAAGCATTTTTCCAGTGTTTTCTTTATCCATTAAAAAGTGCTTTTTCTTTTTTTATTGGACGTATGTGTGTGCTTTCCCAGTAAGAACTAGATGGCAAGTAAGTTTTCCATACCAGAATTCACGAAATTGTAACATCTCCATGCAAATTCAAATGAAAGTTTGTAATAGACGCAAAGTATGTTGTAACTGAAGTCCGCGTCCTTGTCGGTTGCCATTTAGAACAAAATTACTCATAAGCAGGGTATTTTTCACAACATTATCTTGCTAGATTTTTCTTTATTCAAGGTGGTCATCTCATTTGGCAGGACAAATTACTTACTAATGCTTAGTCCGGCAACCAACATACCATGGATTAAGCCGCCTATGCCGACTAAATTTTCAATTTAAGAAATCAGCATAGTATCCCACACAAAAGGCTACATTGTGTAACCACACTCACTAACCATTAATAGCCCAATAAATTAGTAATTACTTTCACAATACACTCCAAAACCGACAAATTAACTACCCGGTTTCCACTAGAGTGACTCACTCTGATTCTTTCAAAATGTATCCACGTGTATGCAAATGCAAACATATATCAATGTTACATTATTAATCATAAACAAAAATCACTGTGAAAAAAACCCTAGATTCCAAAATTTAAAAAGGTAAAACAACCTCTACAGCTACAAGATCTGAAAACCAAAACACAAAATTGAGCACGAGGATGCAGTGAATTCGAACCCGGAGAGTCCGCGAAGGTTCTGAGGCAAGAGCCGAGGAGGTTGAATGTTGGGATGTGGTCGAAGATGACAGGCAGTCGGCGACAGCACGGCGGAGAGGCTCCGGCTGCTTCTTGAGCGACGAAGATCTCAGCCTCGATGCTGCACCAACACCACCCAACAGAAATCTCGAGCTCGCTGGGCTTCTCGAAGGACTATAACTCGTCGACATCGATGTACCTGTATAAATACGCCACAGTGTAACTATCTAAACATGTGTATAAGACCTAGATTCATCATCTGAAGCTTTGTCTTGATCAGTTCATACTACATTTCAAGAATCAAATGTAGTGAACAGTTTGATGTGTGAAGAGAGAGAGAGAGAGAGAGAGAGAGTTTGGATTTAGATGTAGAAAGTCTTAAAATTCGCTGTTTGTATTAGCTGTATAATGTATATAGGTGTAATCTTGTGAGGAATATTAGCTGGCAAAGGCTGATCATTTGTCACTTTAATTGGTGGAGGGTTAATTTGGTCAAGTCAAATTTGGTAATTCAGGGCTTAGGCCCAAAGAGCCGAGAAAATAAGTGTGAAAACCAATAAATAATAAAATGATAATAACTAACTTGTAATAAATCCAGATATCAATATTTGATCAAATTAAAAAAGAAATTATTCAAAATATACATAAATTGATCCAAATATTCCTGATCGTTAAATTAAAAAAAATAAGAGTGGGAATGTACATGACAACATGCTATTTATATTTTTTATCGAATCAAATTTCAATTTAACCGATAGGACAAGGGTTGAAACTTTTGATAGATAATACGAATTTCAATTAAATTACTTATATCAAATTAGATGCAACGCTGCTCTATTTTGACCATAAGTTTGGATCGCATAATGATTGAAAAAAAGTTCCTAATTCCAAACAAAAAGTCACAAAGGAGATAGGTTAATTTGGGTGAATTATACTTTATATCTTAAAAGATTTTAAGATTTTCACTTTACACTTTCAAAGAATAAATTTTTCATAGTACATACTCAATATATCAAAAGTGTTACAAAATTATCATTGTATGAACTTTCCGTTAGTTTTTTCACCAAAGTTAACTGAAGTTAACAGATGATTGCATCTAATATTTTTAATACATTAACGGTAAAATATGAAATAAAAATCTCTAAATCTTTTTAAGTATAAAATACAAAAAAACCCTTTAATCTATTAATGTGTCCTCGATGAAAGTGAAAAATAGTAGCGTCCTTTAAGAAAATGATAATTCAGGAAATTTAACGAGGCATTATGTATAAACTAAAACACTAATAATTTGTATGCGTTAATTATATATTTTTGTGGCATATCATCAATACGTAGGTATTTTACATATTTAAACCACCCCCCCCCCCCAACAAATACATTATCAAAGTTGTGCTACCCAAGACTTGTACGACCCACGTCACATGGCATCCTATGGGGACACTCACCCACCATCTCTGTCGTACCATTCACTCTCACATGTGTTTATAAAAGCTTTTGTTAGCGGGGATGATTTTTTTAAAAGTATTTATAAGATTTATAATTTTTTATATGTATTTAAAAAAAAAGTAATATTTAAAATATCATATTTTAATTATTTTTTAATAAATCAAAGAATAATGTTATATGAACTTAATAATTGAACTCAATACTCATAATTATTGAATAAATAGTGGGTATCAATAAATGTTGAAATTTATAGTGAAATCAATGATTGTAATTATCAAGTCTAATTTTTGAGTCCATTTAATATTGTTTTAAGTCAAAAGTAATTTTACAATTTAAATTATTAGGTAAAAGTTAAAAAAAAAAATTATACTTTCTTAAAATCACTGCTCCTGAAAACACTTCATCATCATCGTCGTCATCGCCTCCACCACGCACTTTTTGATAAAGTATTTTTTATTTTAATATTTTTTTATTTGAGCATTCAAATAGTATTTATTTAATAAAAATATTTATATAATAAAATAGAACTGAATTTAAATCCCAATATTTATCTTGAGTTTTTTGTGATTCAGATTAATTTTGGGTAAACGATAAATTATATCCAATAGTCCATGTTATCTTTAACATTTTTACCGCTTAGATCAACTAACATATATTGATCTTAAGGATCAGATTGACCAACAAATTTTATTTTCCAGCCCAACGCACCTTCCGTTTATGCTTCCCAAACTTCAGACCTCTAATTCCCAATTTCAAGCATCAAATTTCTTTTTCTTCCAAAATTACATCCTTCCCTCTCTCTCTC